AGCTTGCCATGGTGGTGTGGACGTGTAGGTGGGGTTTATACTTTTTGAGCTCAGGTTCGCACCCTTCTGAAGGTGCTGCTGGAGGAAATGCGGGCCGCATCTAAGCAGCACTTGCAGCAAGGTTTGGCGCATTTGTAGTCTTGATGGCGCACTGAGGATCCGCATCCGAACCTGATAGGATAGTTGGCATCTGTGACCTCAAGCCAAATCGAATTGAAATCTGCGGGAGCTCATTTTGAGAAGCATCCTTCTTCAGTCGGCGCTAGGACTGGCTAACTCAAAACTCAAACAGCCGGCAGCCGATGTCACCTGTCGCATTGGTCAGGAAGGTGCTGTGCACTTTCATCGCCGAGCCGCCTGTCAGGCATGTCGGACAGATGCACTGACGGGAGACATAATAATTGTAGCACGCCGTCCGTCAATTCAGTGCCAGCCCAACGCATGCACGCTCTGAGGGTCTCTGCTTCCTTCTTGCCTCCTTCCATCACTCGCTTGCGATATTGCCACGCAAGGTTGCGTTTCCTTTAGGCCACAGATTCCAGTTGCAGGCCTATGTGACGATGATCGTGCGGGCTGGCGGCAAAGTCCGTGGGTTCACCGAGGTCATGGCAAGCCTTGTCAGCTTCATGTTTAATATGCGCAATGTTGGCAAAACCGAGAACCGCTGAGCTCAGAAGCTTTGAAGCCTTTGTTTGAGTAGGACGGTCGATGGGTGGGCGACTTGAAAGATGACGAGCATCATCGTCGTCGGGCGGATTCGCTCGCAAAGTCGCGAGGGCCCCGTGCCGGGTATGTTCGGAGCCACGGAGCAGATTGATGTGTATCTTGTTCATCACTACGATACGATACCTTACAACAAGGCATTTTTGGTAGCTTTTATTTTTGCAGCCTGATCTCGCAGCATCCAGCTTACGTTTTGACAGGCTGCCTGGCCAGTTTGGAAAACTACATGTAGTCGGACTCAGTGCGATAGCAGGGGTGGTTCGACAGTACCGTTTGAAAACCTGGGGAAAGGTTCATGCTAGCCCAAAGTGCATGCGAATCCAAAGCAAAGCCTAGCTCCTACACTGCCAGACCCAGCCAAGGCCACATCCCGCCAACTCAGGCGCAGCCACGGGAACGGTGTTGTGAACGCTAGGACCTGCAGCATTTGCATCGGCGTCAAAAGGCCGAACTCAAGAAGCGTCTAACAAATTGGCAACACCGCCTTGGGCCGCACCTTTACTTTTCGAGTCTCTTGGGAAGTTCGGACCTCAAGCCCAAGTCCAGCGCTGTGCACTTGTTGAAGCAAGCATTTCAGTGAAGTCGTCAAGATCTTAATCAAGCGTTCGCTTCCTTATGCTGCTTCCACAGGTGTCGAGGACGCGGTCGACAGGCCCCAACATGCCCCGTATAGGTTCGCGGTAGCAGTCTGAAACTATCGTAACGTCAGGGAGGATTTAGTTTGTGACCAGGCGGCTTTTCCTTGGCATCAGCCGATATCTTCGCAGGACACAGTCATAGTGCTGTCCATGCTGTGTTGATGCAGAAGGCGGAATGTGTGGCCCTTGGAGCTGTTGGACATCAACGACCCAGAGCGACCGGCTAAGTTCAGGAGTTTGATGGAGTTTCTGGAGGCTACTCGTGCGGTGGAGGAGCTTCCTTCAGCCCCGAGATCTTTTCCCATGAGTCGGATTTTTAGTGTTGCCAGAGGTACAAGGCCCACAGTGGTCACGATGAGGAGGTCATCCCTGGTCGGAACTGAGGCAAGTTCAGCTTGTCTACGATGTGCTGCGTTACTCCCCCATGGCAATCCGTCACCTGCAGGGAACCTCAGCAGGAGCGGTGTCGTGGAATTCTCTGCAGGAGCATATAGGCCTATAGGCATCAACCTCTCTTTTATTCAGTTGCCGATGAAGAGGGAAGATCGCCTTCCTTTGGTAATAATGCTTCGCCGAGGCTGGAGCACCATGTCTTTATCGCACGGGCCTCGCTGCTAGAGAGTCTGAAACGAATCAACGGCCAAGGAGGACGAGGCACATCACAGAGCAGGCTCCATTTTTATTGGGCTACTGTTGAGGTTGGCGTTTTTTAAATCTTGCAAAGGCGGCCCACAGCGGAAAATCGTGGCTGAACCTTCCACTCCTTGAACACTCCAAGGCAGGAACACTGGATCGCAACGAGACTCAACTTACCGCTTGTGGCCAGGACCCCTCAGAGCTGCCTTTGAAGTGTTTTTTCATTGCGATCGGATAGAGCCGCCGCTGTCTGTACCGGCGATCCCGGCTACTCGGAATCTTGCTTCCCTTCCTAAGGCCCAGGAAACTTACCATAACGCACTTTTGTTAAGCCTTATGCCTTGATTTGGCGAATCTAGCACCTCATTGTGCTGCGCAGGAGCTTGCTGGGCCGGTCACTCAGTGTCTCGGTCAGTGGGTGTTTGGAAAAGATACTCACGCCCCAAGTGGTTCAAACAGTACATGACAGGCCGAAGTATGCCCAAGGTTCAGTCATGCTACGACAGGAGCCTTGACTTATGTAGTCCCAAGCAGAGCAGCAGCTGCCGAAACCTCAACTGCACCCTGAGTGCCCGCAAGACCAAGGTGGACAGGTAAAGTCAAGTTGGTGAGAGCCAGGAAAAGAAGTGAACACAAACATCAGTTCGTTTCGATGCTGGATTTTATCTGTGGGCCAGGAGACGCTTTTTGTCATACGGAATCCGTTGGCCCGTCACTCGCAGAGCTCCGAAGCTCTCAAAACTACCCGGACGTGCCCAGGCCGCAGCTTTTCAAGCAATGCCTTGGCTTCAGCGGCACTCCAAATGACCTGCTGCTTGGGCCCCAGGGCCCCAGGGGTCTCGGACAGCGCTGGGAACAAATGAGCTCAAGGCCGTAGAGGGCTGCCACTGTCTTCGCAAATTGTGCCCTGTCTAATTATTTCTCACAGTGGTTTGTCTCAAGTATCACGGCAGTGTCAGAAGAGAGCCTTCGTGCAAGTTCTACAGCTGTAACTGCAGGAGCTTGTAAATCAGCCTTGCGATGCGAACCTATGCATCGCTGGCCTGGTTCTACTTGGTGCACCGTTTGCATTGTGCCGTCAGGCCAAAGTCGATGGGACGCTGTATCTACGCGGAGGGTGACGACGGGAAAGTACTGCAGGCATGGCAGCCTTTTTCCACATTGTTTTAAAGCTGAGTGTCCATTGTCCTGCACTTCCCTGCGCCCTGCGCAGCTGCAAAGCAGGTCCTGAGTTCTACTCAACACGTGTCCGTTGTGGAGAGCCATACTCAGACTCAAGCCTTGGCCAAGCTGGGTGTCTGCAGTGGATGCACTTCGCAACGTGCTGGCTGCAGCAGTTCCGTGGCATGAGCCGTTCTTCCAATCGGTCAGGGCTGAGGGTTGGGGACATGATCGTCAGAGCCAACGCCAACTTGGCCGTGATTTCCTTGCAGTTGTTGAGGCTCGGACGTTGGAGTCCTGTGCAGATCTTGGACATCGCCAGTCTCTCAATTCTTACCTCAGTCCAGCATTTCCCACCTGCTCTCTACATGTTACAGCAACGACACAGAGCTCGCTTCCTCAGTCTTGGGGCTCCCAGCTTGGAGAACTCATTCGTTGCTGCCGATGTTGACTCGTAGCACACCGTGTGGAGGGTCCTGCGAACAGGTAGCGAAAACGCGCAGCAGCCGGGGTAACAGGCAATCGTCTGCTTGCCGGTTGGTGACTGTTAGTGCATTGGCGACGCGTAGGCCTGTGCTTTGCACGCCTGCTCTTGCAGGCCGAAGTATCACGCGCTTATCGACTCTGGCGCCTTAGTCGGGCCGCCAAGGATTGCCACACTGGGGTTCATGTGGTTTCAACCGAGCTAGTCATTTTTCTGCTTATCCTTCATAAACCTCATGGTTTCCATGATTTTTCATGGTCACCATCACAGAGGTCATATGCGACAGACTCATTTCCGTGAAGCCCGCGACCTCGCAGCAGCGGATGTTAAGCGCCGACGTTCATGCTTAAGGCTTCATTTAGCCACTGGTCGAAGTGAAAACCGCCAAGCCTATCCAAGCATCACGTGCAGATTATTCAATCAGATGCAAGAGTTGCAGCTAAAAAGTTTTCTGCAGGCACGACCTGGAACAAAGCATGTCGCAACCGCCCCTGCTTCTACCTGTACCAGAAGTCGCCTCGCACAGGTCACGGGCATGACGAATCGAGTAGTTGCAGAGCAGCTACCTCAGTCGTTACCGCCCGTCAAAAAAACGTGAAGCTGGAACGATTCATGGATTCCTGTGCCCGCTGTTAAGCTTCGGATGCAATCACTGCCACATTGGTTCAGCCACCTGATCTTGTCGTCTTGCAGCGCTCTCACTTGCAAACGTCAAGCGTCAAGCGATGCAAAGCATGGCCAGGGCATGCCAGGGCAGCCTCACCAGATGAGGTATCTTCTCGAAAATGGTCTCGAAGGTCTTGATGGAGTTCTGTTCCTGGATGAGCGGGACGAGAGGGTGGGCAAGTCAGAGCCGCGAGGGAGGGATGGCGTTTGTGCTGCATGGAAACCCCTGACTTTCAAATTTCGGTGACGTTTGGAAGCCTTGCGACTTCAACGGTCCGACCGTGTGCAGGTCGTGTTGGAACGTGACAGTCGGCGTGTGGTGGAGCTGGTCCGGACCTCTCTGAGGAAGCTGTGTCCCCATGTGTTCGGCCATTTTGAATCAAATCTCGTGCAGTGTCGATGCAAGTCTGGAGTTCACAATAGATCGTCCGTTCACAACTCCATGTCGTGGTTGATGCTGTGCCAATTCACAAGCGAAACACTCTGACTCGCCTCTTCTTCGATACAGAACATGCGAAATTCTCAGAGCCATAAGACGGCGTTGCTGTGTGCATTTGCTTGAGAAAGCAGAAAAATCTTTGAAAGGTTTAGACCCTGCCTGTTCTCCCCATTAGGGGGCAAGCCTGTTTCGAGGCCCAGTCTGGTAAGCCGTGAGGGCATTGCCGTGCATAGCACTGCATTGCCTCAGAGCCATGGGCGCATGCGCTGCCTGCTTCCGCCCGGCACGGCACCAGGTACCCAAAGAAACCTTCGCAAAGGCCAAGGTGGGACTAAGTAGTTTGCCGTTGGCTGCGCAGAAGTGGGCCTGCTCGTATTTCGCAGCTCTGAGCTTGTTGCACTTGCTTGTATGTTCCATGCCAGCTTCTTGCACAATCGGTGAAGCTCTTATCGGTCAAGGTGGATCTCGTGAAGGCTTGCCGAAACATGATCGACTTCCTTCAGGAGGTTGACACTCCGACTAACAAGCCAGTATAACCCGAGATAACCAGAGGCCACGCATGCGTGGGTCCTGGCTAGCTCCAAGCACTGTCGATGCTCGTGCTTGCATGTGCTGCCCGATCTGTTTGCATAGTAGTCTTTTGTTCCGGGCATTTGTGTTGAAAGATGCGTGAACCACGGCAAAGCCACCAACTGGCCAGCGTCCAGTATCTCAAAAAGCATTTCTGGGCCAACTAAGGACAAGTATCCCTGCCTGTACGCGAACCAGCAGGTGCCACATCTCGCAAGCCGGGATGAGGGAGTTCCCCCCCCCATACAGTACTGCAGACAAACAGAAAGAGAGCAGCGTATCACAAGACACCACGTTATTTGACAAACGTGATATCTGAAGCCTATGTATAAATGGAAATGTCACACCTACATGTACATACACATATATACACATACTGGCACAACATACTTACACATGCACATGCACTTACGCATGCATGCGTACGTACGTACGTACGTACGTACGTACGTACGTACGCACATACATGCACACATGCAAACAGACATAATATGCAAAAATGTATTCTTGGATATACGAGAACGTGAGCAGTAGTCCGGAGCCCTTTCCAAGACAAGGCGCCTAGGCTTACCACTGAGGTGCTTCGACAGGCGGTCCAGCGCTACGAGGACATATGGCTGCCACTTCTGGCCAAGAAAGATCCTCAAGCACGGCTAGTGCCACCCCTCGATGTGGAGTGGGTCTGGCACTGCCACATGCTCCTCGGACGAAACCTTTGGCTTCGTTTCAGAGGTCCGGTGCCTACGTGCAGGTCTGGGAGCGGAAGCTTGAGCGGCAACACTGAGGCTATGCCCAAAAGCCTACCGAGAGGATGCTATGAACATAACGGGGCTCTCAGAGCCACGGCTTGAAAGCGTTGGACTATTCTGTATTTGGGCTTCTGTGGTGCATGTTTTGCCGCTGTTCGGAGAAAAGCGTGCAGAGCCACGACGTAAGTTTGAGCCTTGAATCAGTTGCTCGCTAGTCATAGCTGATCGAGTACCAACCCTGCATGCTGAACACTGGCGTCCTGTCGATCAGGAACCGCCCGATCATGCTTTGATGCCACGAACGGGCAAGGAGCCAGCTTTTGTCATTTTCACTTCGAAGTCTTTCAGCTTCCATTTTTCTGATGAGGAAGCGGTAGCTAGATGCGAGGTGCGGGAGGATCTCCTCGGAAGGGCAACTGGGGAAAGCCCCACCCCTAGCTCAAGTTTCGAGTCCTATAGCTGCAGGAGTTCACGTCCGCGGAGTCCCTCACGAGCAAGCTGTGGGAGAAGGCCAAACGCCTTTTGCTGGGAAACTTGCGCTTCTGAACGACCGCAAATTTCTCGGGCCGATGTGTCTCAGTAATCGGCAAGAGGAGAGAATCTCTGGTGATGAAGCAATCTGCAGGCTGGTGGCGGGAACTACGATATCAGGACGACACTGCAAAACGCGCCGCTTCAGGCTAGCTACGAGGGCAATGCATCTTGGTGCTATGTGAGATTTCGGTTTACTGCTTCAGCCTGCCGTCCATGTCTCGAGGTTGCAGCCATTGCGTTAGGTTAGCCTGATTTCGGTAGTTAGCAGCCTCAGTATAGTCTCACACTGTTCAGACTTCCTGACTCCTTGAAGAAGACAGCTTCACCTGCTTTCTTAGAGACCGTCCTAGACGGTCCTCGACCCTGTACAGTTCCTTAGACAATGCTGGTGTAAGCTTTTGCGTTGAGTAAAGCCAGAGTCGTGCTTCCTTGCGTGGCCCTTTTTTGTACAATTACGTTCAGGTTTGCTTGATCTGATGATTGCCTTGTAATTGGCAACTTTAAATGGTTGCATCTTTGTTCATGCGTTTCTACCTTGTGCCTGACGCCACTTTTCCCACCGGTGCGAATATCAAGTAAGGTGGGGACAGTGTAACGCCATGACTTCCTCCTTGAATACTTTGTTGTGTGCTCTCGTTGTCTGAGTTGCTGCTGTGTTGTCAGTGATGGCGGTCTGGACCTTGTGCCGCTCTGTCATGCTTACTATGTCGCACCATACAGCATCGCCTGTCAGCTGAAGTCTGCCCAGGCCAGTGGCAAGAGCAAGTACGACATCGTGGCAGCAGCTGAGAGGCTCCAACGTTGTCGTTCTTCCTGCGCATGATGTTCCGCTGCCCCAGGTACTGCCAAAACCGGGTTGCACACACGGTTGCAGGTAAGGTGTGGGGCTCACACAGTCACATCCAAAGCTTCAAGACACCGGTACTGCACATCCGTACCCATGTTTGCAGCCATGGCTGGATTGCGATTGTGCTTGAACTGACAGGCAGATGGCCTTCTACTACCAGGCGGCCTTGAACCAGACTTGTTTGATGCTCAAAGCTTTGTAACTCCGTCGGCGTGGAGGTACTTAGCTTCCTGCAGCCAGACGGGCTACCCCCACACGCGGATTTTTGACTTCTGTCGAGTTGAGTTTGGCTCAACAGACTCAGCAAAAGATCCAGCACGTGAACGATTCCCGAGACATTGTGGAAACTCACCTCAGTGCAAGCATACGAACCTCGCTGTTCCTTTCCTGAGGTAGGGCAAAGCACCCTGAACCCCAAATTATTTAGTGTCACGCAGATAGACCTCGCCTGGGTTGTGCGAGTGGTGAGAGCGCAAACCCAGCATGAAGCCCTATAAGCCCCTATGGTGACCTGTGAGGTGGCGGTGATGCCTCACTATCGTGACCAGTACTTCTTGGAGCTGGCTGTTGAGAGAACCTCTTGGATGCAATTCAAGCGTTCTCGTCAGCTCCTGTTGATATTTTTCGTGCTATAACTAAACATGCCCGGCTCCCCAAACCATACAGGCCATACAGGTTTTTCCACACCTGGACTGAGCGGAGCCTGAGTCATATTCAGCCGATCCGCGGAATGGGGCTAGGTTTACATGTGAAGCTCCTCAGGATATTTGGACAGGTTCCTGGAGCTGAAGCGACGGCGGCCAAAGGTCTCCTGGCATGATGTCGTCTGTCATATGCTTGGAGAGGTGGCTCAGATTCTGCACTTCCGCTGTCCGCTCATCAGTTTCGGCTTTATATAACTCTCGGCCTGGAGAGCCAACAGACGCCCCCATGAAATCCCAAGACCGCTTTAGCCCCGCAGAGTCGTCACAGAGTGTCGCATCTAGGAATTCTCAGCAGGTCGTGGAGATGTTGACTATTGTCTTGTATTGTTCCTCCCACAATGGCGTGATAATTACAAGTCAGTCTCGAGCATCTTAATGCAGCTGGTCCGGTACCAAGGATTTCTGGGTTCCCACCTACGACATTGACTGTGTGTGGCACGCTCACCAGCTACACCCTCACAACTACGAGGAGGAATGCTGGGACGGTAACTTGAATTTGAAAAATGGTGCAGGATTTGGAATGCAGTTGTGGAGGACACAGCGACACGTTTGAGCAATGCGGTAAGAGAATGAGGCTATCCTTTGCCCCGCATGCCCAGGACAGGCATATAATGCGAGAAGCACATGCGCATGCTTTAAGCGATCGTGTTCAGAGGAGACCACCCGACTGTGTGGGGCCATGCTGCCGCATGACGACAGCTGCTCTGCTACAATTGCTTTGTGAAGGCTGACGAGAGCAGATGCTCCTAACTGTTCCAAAGATTGATGGCAGCGACGGGGGTGACGCTCGGTGCTGTAGCCGCCTTGTGTTCTTTGCGGCCTACGGATTTGTCATGAATTCATGTCCTTCGAAGGCTTGCTTATCCTCGACACAGTCCATCGGCCCTTGAGGCAACTCTACGGTTATATAGTCCGCAACAGATTGCCGCTGGCAGGTGTCAACGACAGATCGGAAGGCTCTCGCCTGAACAACCGCTGGGAGGACAGTAAGTCTGAGGTTGGACTGACTATGTGGAAATTCGTGCCGTGAAGCATGCGCAAACACGACGTCACGAGGCGGATGACACGAATTGGTTGGTTTAAGTCGGACGGTCGCAAGTCTATGAGGTCCATAACTTGCACACTTGGCACCCAGCGCAAGGAGACGAAGGCTGCTTGGAACCAGGAGTTCCCCAAAGACAGTGCCATGACTCGGGGGGGCATGTACCGAGGCTGGGCTTGCTCGGGGCTTCGTGCATTCAGACTCGAGGTTGTGCCTCTTGAGTCATCTGACCGATTGAAAATATCGAAAACAGCAGAAACCTGCGAAAACCGATTGAATCTATTGGAAAGACTGATTCTTAATCGTGTGTGTACAGAGACCGTCACTGGCATGCTTTCGGTGCTTCTTACGGTCCCCACCGCATTAGCAGTGCCAAGCTTCGAGGCTTGCTTGACAGTGTCATGCCAGGATCAGTGAGCGTGTTATGCTACGTATGGCATGGTAGAATGTGCGAGGGTTTGCTGACAGCATAGCCGAGACGCGGACAGAATCGAAGCCGTAGAGACAGACCCAACCTCACCCGACACCGCCGGACAGGCCTCGTGACCATTGCCGAGAGGCAATACCGAGAGCAACAGTGGAGCTTGCTTCGCACGGCTGTGGCTTCGGCGAGATTGCAAAAGCCTTTGCTGTGCTATGCAATGCGTTCCCGAGTTCTGACGCCTTTCAAAGACATGTCTTCTGGTCGGTTTTGCTTGAAGGCTCCAACTTTTTTCATGTTCTTCTGAAGCTGCGTTGTTTTTAAGCTCTACGTCCTCCTGATGCCTTCACGTGTTCCCATCGCTCAAGAGGGGTGCCACAGAATCGTTGGGCTCGGGCCGGATGTTGGCTTGTGGCTTCCGTGGCAGCTGATGGAAGCGTAGGCAGCCTGGAGACACTCGCTACCTCGCCCAGAAATGCCGAGTGTGAATGTCTAGACATGGCTCCTTCGTTTTTTCTTGCTGCATTGGCCGGAGGGGCATGTATTCGAGCGGGCTGGGGCTTTACAGAGACAGTATGGCGCAAGTTACAGCGATACTTTCATCCGTCTTCTCCACAGCTGCAACGAATGGTCCACCTTTTGCCAGGGTGCTGCGGCTCAGAACATCACCCTGGAGGCGCCATGGGGCGTCACGAACGGACCTGAGGCCCGACACTTAGAGGGGGTCTTGGGGCGTGCAGTGTGAGGTGTTGTTATCCAGTTTCTTGGTGCTTTGCTGGCTCTTTGAGTTTGGGCTTCAGCTGCCGACGTTATTCTTTGCTCGCTTGAGGGCCGTAGGGGTTCAGAGGATCCCAGCGCCGTTTGATAACCACTCCTGCCACATCCGCACCCCTGAAACCGCCGCCGGTCCGCGCCCAACCAGTCCCAACACTCGTCAACCGAGACCGCTCAATCTGTGATTGGCCCCGCTATTTCCAGCTAGACATGGAACAACATGACCCAGCAGATCCATGCCATACTGTCCAGCCTTAACCGTCGTTGTTCAGAGCAGTTGAGCACACTGAGGCTGCGAGCCAAATCCTGCTGAGGGCGGATTCTCTTTTGTGAAACGACGTAGGAAAGACCAGGATAAGCTGCATCAGGCAATAAAGCCAGCTAGTTTTGCCATTCAGACACATCTTTCATCCAAATTGTCGTTGGCATACGAAACTTTGCCGGCTTCTCCCAAACTTTGATGATGCACAGAACCCAGTTCAATCAGACATTCTCGCCCCAAGGCTGGGATACCCTGGGTGCATCGCAAGGACGGGTTTTTTGCTTGTCCAGGGATGGGCGCAATGGGCATTGAAATACGGCTTTGGCTTTGCTTATCTTCGGAAGACTCCACCGTGCTGCCAAGAGGCCTGAACTGCGTCGAAGTCTGCCTGCAGACGGGAAAGCCCGAGAAAAGATCCCTTCCACAGTTAATGCAAGATATAAGCCTAGTACCTTTGGACACGGCACGTTTTTGTCCACTCATGTATGCCTTCAAGAATGCCTAGAAGGCAACTGGACGCCACGGGGTATGTTCACAGCAGCCCGCTGCTCAAAAAGTCACTGCAGATGCCCTCTGGGTGATTCATGGTGATTCACGGCCTTTTGTTGCGTAGGACGCAGCTGGTGGGCTCTACGGCCTCCGGCGATTCTCGTGCCCGGGCCATCATTGGTCAGCAGAGCCGGCTCAATGCAGGTAATCTCTGCCCTGAGACAGCCCGAACCAGACAAAGCTTCGGTGACCAGGAAGTTTGGGGATCTCTGCGCTCAAGTAGTTCACGGCCGGGCCCAACAACAGTCCTGACCTCAGGATCTTAGCCTGCTGAAAGCATCAGAGCAAAATAAGCTCGGAGCTCATGCCGTCCACACACGCTCCAGCTGCCATGACGCTCAAGCTCACTTTCCAGGAGTTTCAGCTACCTGGAGGCGAGAGGGTGCAACCAGGGAGCATCGGATATATTCGGATGACCCTATCGGGTCTATCCGTGAATATGTTGATCCCGCAGTTGATGCCCAATCAAGTCATTGAGTAGAAGGCTTCTTATGTAGGCAATGTATGCCCAGTCAAGCGTAAAAAACCAGTATAGAGTAGAGTCAGTAGAGAGAAGACAGGGACATTCCAGTTTCTTGGGAATTTGCGTGCAAATTTTCTCAGTTGCTGCTCTGGTGACCACGTACATACATAGCGTGCGCCGACTTCGGGCCTCAACCTATAAAAGCTACTTCATCATTGTAACCTTCAACCTCAGATATATGGCCCATATTAGCCAACAGTAGGAACTCTCTGCCTGCTCACGCCGACCGGGGTTTGATGTTGGAGGGTCGGGCGTGGGAAGTCGTAGCTTGGAAGATGCCCTCGGGATTTCAGGTAAATACGATTGAATCTGAACTTGCTGAATCAAATTCAAAACCCATGACAAGCTATGACCCAGAGCCTTCGCACCGAACAGGTGGTGGCGAATGCTGAAAAGTCTGTGCCCCTCGTGACGGCGCATGCCGTGGAGTCAGATCAGCTGCCAGGCAGCCGAAACATCTCCGGCGATTCGAACTACAGTAATCGTTGATGTTGTTGCTTGGTAAGGTGCAGGTGTTGAGATTGCTATTGACACCCGCGTGTTGCTCTGCCATCCGTCAACCTTGATCTGCATGATCTGCTCGCAGCATCCCTCCAATGTCCTACGTCGTCCTACGTGCTCTTGCGAACGCTCCTGGAGCCCGAAGCAGACGAGCAACGCTGCGACGGGTGCCAAGCGAAGAAACCATGAAGGCTTCGAAAAGACCGAATGCAAAGGCCAAAGAACGCCTGTTTGACGTCCTGCGAACACCGGAGAACCTTCGTGCTTGAATCCATTTAGCGTGCAGTCGGAATCGGTAGCAGGCTTAGTTGTACTTTCTATTTGCTTGGATGTAACTTTTTTCTCTTAGATGTATCTTTTTCCTTTTCCCTGCTGACCCCACCTACCCACGTACCCCACCCCACCTGCCCCGCCTACCCCACC